GTTATCTCTGTCTGCAGTATTCATTGCAAGGAGGATGATTAAAAGGAGCAGAAAGACTTTCATGCATATAAGCAAAACGAGCAATTGTCCCCTGTGTAGTACATTAATAACAAGGCAGGAAAATTATCTAATAGGCCTGGTGACTTTCCAACAAATTTATGAAAAGGCATTCTTGCTCAGAGCTCAGCAAACCAGAGTACTGATCAAAACACCAAGCTCTTGGTTCTGGCTTAATTTTTACTAATACTCTAGTAATTGGTCTTAGCTATTTCCCTAGCAAGTCCAAGAATATACGTTGTCTAATCTCCTACTTGCAAGTAAACAGAGCTAAGCTAATATTTTTCCTTTAAAGTGTTAGAAGCCAATAAATTAAAATACTTTCAGTAGTTGAATTTTTGTCACTTAAAGTCTAGATAAGAATTTTCTTGACTAGTTAGAAAAGCATCATCATGCCCAATCATTAACCACCTCACCCGAGTACTTTTTACATCCATCCCTAAGAGCTCTGCGGGTCAACACTAGACCTTAATCATGTTTTAGCCGTAAAACCAAGTTGTTGATTTGTTTGCAATGTAATTAAAATAATCCTTAAAAATTCCGGCATAGGTAATAAATCTTGTAATCCTTTTATTTTTCTTAGATGTGGGTCATCTCAAGGTAGATTACGGAGATAATAAGAGGCGGCACCCAGCGGAAGATTCCTCACTGGACAGCATAGCCGCGGTCGTGGTTCCCGTCGTGATATGCCTCTCCATTATCATAGCGTTCCTGCTCATCAACCAGAAGAAACAGTGGATACCCCTGCTTTGCTGGTATCGAACTCCAACGAAGGTATCGTCCTGAGAACGTTTCAGCCTCTTGAGTGGTCACACTAGGAAAGCTTGCATGCTTATTACTTCCTTGAATTGTTCAGCCAGTAAAATTTTTACTTTGCTCTCCGTGGCCTCACGTGCACATCAAGCTGTAGCAATCAGATATCTGGTACTGGCCCAACCTCCTGGATTGATTCCTAAGTCCTTACATAAGGAATTAAAAGCTGATGACCTGGTGTTTCTCAGTGATCTATCAACTTAGAAATGGGAGAGAAATCATCAAGGGAGGGGGTGATAGGAGAGCCGGGAAGAGAGCTAGCGATTATGGGGCATACAGAAGTCAAAGGTCAGAGAGATTGTTCGAGGCAAGCAGAGAGGGAAAGTGAGCGAGAGATGAAGAGATTGCGTGAATACTAGATGAGAGAGACATTTCATATTGAGGGAGAAAGAGTATACAAGGTGTCCCCAAGAGATGTATACACATGTTAACAGCCGATAGCTCAATTTTGAAAATGAAATGTATTTTAATAAACACTGCCTTTATAATTACTGTGTGTATACATTTTCTGAGGATACCCTATATTTGTTGTCAAATATGCCTATTTTAAAAGGCAAGACAATTAGTTTTCATTAAAGGAAATAAATTGTGATGCTTTCCAACCTTGATTCTACCTTTTACATTTAGTTTTTTCCTAAGAAAAAAAATCAGACAACCTTAAGAATTTAAAGCAGCCTTGAATAACTATTTTATCCCTCCCAGTGAAAGTCTATTGGATGGTTATCCTGCCTCCGATGTTCTTTAGACAAAAATGTGCTGGGCACATGCTGTGTCAGGACATGGGGCAGGGACTGAGCAGGCGCAGTCCCCTCTGCAGAGCCGGGAAAGGGGCCCCGCTCCCACAGGGCGTGGAGGGGCTGACACAGGCTGTTGTACAGCCCGAGCACTTCAGCGTGGTCTCCGCCTGTCGTAACTTCCACTCATTCTCCAACCCTCTGAAGTACTAGTCTGCCCTTCGAGGATTTGAAAACAGTCATGTCACTCACTTCACCAGTTCCCCCACTCCCCTCAGTTCCTTCACCCACTCCACTTGGCATAACTTACTGACGTTTCACCCGTAAAGACAGTTTGTCAGTCAGTACCTGCGTGAAGCGGCAGTTGGCACCAGAACAGATGTAAGCTCCACCGAGAGTCCGCCCGTCAGTGTACTTACTTTACTGTGAAGCTATCATCCCACTTGAATTAGGGACTAAATTTGTGTCAATTTGGGATCCGTAAAGCAGCTAATTCTTTGCGGTTTTTCTTTCCCTCGCTGCCTAGCCTTCTTCCTTAAGCAACCAGCTGGTCTCTGTGGACTGCAAGAAAGGACCCCGCGCCCAGGGGGACAGTGCCCAGAGGATGCTCAGGATTGCGGAGCCGGACGCCAGGTTCAGCGGCTTCTACAGCATGCAGAAACAGAACCACCTACAGGCAGACAAGTTCTACCAGACGGTGTGAAGGGAGGCAAGTCGGATGAGGTGGTAGAAGCCAGAAGCGACTCAATCTGCTCTTAAAAGTAAACTAGAATTTGTGCACTTGCTTAGTGGGTTGTGTTGGATGGTGACTGGATGTTCAGCGCTAAGAACTGACTGGGATGGGCTCTGTCGGCGGCAGTGTGCAGAACAAGCATTCCCACTTTTCCTCAAGGTGACTGACCAAGTGTTTTCTTAGAACCAAAGTTTTCCAAGTCGCTAAGACATATTTGCTTGTAATATAGCGGTAGAGGTATTTGGGGGCGGGGACAGTCGAGTTTGGCTGGGGAAGTGGGAGGGAGGGTGGTGTTGGGAAGACGTTGGTCAGCTTGGCTCGGGGAGAGTCCCGTGAAGCAGCAGCAGTTCGGGGCCCAACGGATGCTCTTCCTGTTGCTCCGGCGCCTGCGGGGTTGCGGCGCTCGGGCCCGAGTGAGCAGGAAGCCAAAGGCCTGTGATCCCGCCGCCGCAGCCACCTTAGCAGCACAGAGCGCGGCAGAACCTTCCGATAGCCATCCCAGGTCTAAAGCCACAGTTCCTCCCCTCTAGTCACAGCTGCCATGGGCAGCGAGGGAGATGTGAGGACCACATTTCCGGGAAGCGGGTTGTTCAGGATATCTACAGTTAGACTTTTTGCTGCTTTCGTTTTCTTCCAAGCCAATCAGCCAGTTCCTAGCAGAGTCGGCAGGTAAACAGGACCCAAAGTCATTTCTTGGCGTGAGCACTGAGCTGTTCCCAGGACCGCGCGGCACCGAGGCGGGTGGAGGTCGCCAGGTATTTCCAGGGCTACGCTTCATTGTTTGCTGTTGCTTCGTTCTGTTTGATTGTTGGTTGTTCACAGTTTTTGTTGAAGCTCTAGCTTAAGAAGAAACTTTTCTTTTTAAAAAGACTGATTGGGGATTTTTTTTTTCCTTATTATATACTGATTCTACAAAATAGAAAACTACTTCATTTTAATTGTATATTATTCAAGCACCTTTGTTGAAGCTCAAAAAAAATATGCCTCTTTAAACTTTAGCAATTATAGGAATATTTATGTAACTATCTTTTGCTTCAAAAAAAAAGTATTTGTGTGCGTGTGTATATAATATATACATACATATATATTTATACACATACAATTTATGTTTTCCTGTTGAATGTATTTTTATGAGATTTTTAACCAGAACAAAGACAAATAGGCATTCCATATCAATACTTTTGATCACTTACAAATTTTTGAATAACATGAGATCTCGTTCTACCTGCAGTTTAATCGGGAAGAAAGGTGTGTGGGGGGCGAGTGTGTACGTACACGCCTTGAGCCGTGACATCACACCTGCTGTGGAGAGGGTCTTCCTTTAGTGAATCTCCTGACTCATTTGGATTTGCTTTCAGTTGGTTTTCAATTCGCTCCACTGGCCAGAAACACTGATGGCAGTTTATCTGCATCACTAATCAGCTCCTGGATTTTTTTTTTTTTCCTTCAAACAACTGTTTGAAACAACTACTGGAATATTGTCCATAAATAAGCTGGAAGTTTGTTGTAGTTTGCCTCAAATATAACTGACTGTATACTATAGTGTTAACTTTTCAAACAGCTCTTAGCACTTTTATACTAATTACCCATTTGTGCATTGATTTTTTTTCTTTTAAAAATGCTTGTTGTGAAAGACACAGATACCCAGTATGCTTAATGTGAAAAGAAAATGTGTTCTGTTTTGTAAAGGAACTTTCAAGTATTGTTGTAAATACTTGGACAGAGATTGCTGAACTTTAAAAAAAATTTTAATTTATTATTATAATGTCCTAATTTATTAATCTGAAGATTAACCATTTTCTTTGTCTTAGAATATCAAAAAAAAAAAGGTGTTCTAGCTGTTTGCATCAAAGAAAGAAAAAGATTTATTATCAAGGGGCAATATTTTTATCTATTTCCAAAATAAATTTGTTAATGATATGTTACCAAAATAAGATTTACATCAGCCTGATTAATATAAGATTTTGTTGACAATTAATCCATTCCTGGCATAAAAAGTCTTTATCAAAAAAAATTGTAAATGCTTGCTTTTTCAATCATGGCCATATTATGAAAATACTAACAGGATATAGGACAAGGTGTAAATTTTTTTATTATTATTTTAAAGATATGATTTATCCTGAGTGCTGTATCTATTACTCTTTTACTTTGGTTCCTGTTGTGCTCTTGTAAAAGAAAAACAAATATAATTTCCTGAAGAATAAAATAGATCTATGGCAGGCACTTGGCGTGTACCGTAGTTCTTCAAGAACCAAGCACTTTGGTTCTTGGCCACAAACAAACACTTTTAGTCACACCCTGTAACTTTCCAAGTGACTCCACATTTGGGATTAGAAAGACAAGCTGTCCTTTTGCTTTCAGGTTGTCAGTCTAACAATCTCCAGGGTCACAAGCGGCTACACAGACTCTTACCATGTTATCTCAGCGACCGCACAGAGAATGACAGGGCTCCTATCATTCCAGAAAAATCGTCCCTCCCCCACCCCTACCCCCACCCCAACACTCCTTACTGTCAGGCGGCCACCGGGGTTTCCCAGCTCAGGCCCTGAAGTGATGGACAATGTGTGCATAGTAAGGAGAAGAATCTAGCTCTGCAAGGGAAGAAAACTGGTTAAAAACTACACCAAAAACTGAAAATAGAAATGAAGCGCTCAGGCATACTGTATCTTTTCCCAACGTTTATTAAAGGGCACTGACTTGATTGGAACGGGCGGAAGTGCTTCATGGCTGGTGATGTATCCATGAGCAGCTGTTTCCAGAGTTAGTATTGGGGAGGCGCACAGGCGTGAAGCTATAACAGCCGTGGGGGATGGGCAAAGCTGCAGCTTTCGGCTTCTTAAGCACCTTAACGATAGACACACTCCCTTTAAAGGACACTTCTCCACAGACACATAAAACAAAACTCAAACATCTAACGTTAAACAGCACAAGATTCTGAAAGTAAATGGCAACCTAATGGTTAAAATTTGATCCATGGTGAACGCCGCAGCAGCCTCTAACACCATCGCCAACAGTTCCCGTTCTCACTGAGGATTAAACCAAGATGACACATTCCCGTTTCATCCTAACAACAGCCCAAGTTTAAGCTTCCGTCTCTGGGCAATACTGATACTTACACTGACGGTTCTCTTACAACAATCAGTGTTGGTTTTGCCGTCGCTGTGCTATGAATCTCTCAATGCTTTAACCCAGCGGCCGCCAACCTTTCAGACCTCGCGGACCACCAGTGGCTCGCGGACCACCGGTTGGCAACCGCTGCTTTAACCTGTCCTTCAATGTAGTTTATATCTAGAAAGCCATGAAACCTCAAATGGGCATATGGTCAGTACATAAAAAATATAACTGCACATGCATAGTTCATATTACATCCCCTGACTCTCAAAGTTGAAGAATTCATAATTGTTCATATTTAACAAAAAAAATCCCTAGAATTCAAAATAGTGCCATGTTTGTCTTGGTTCCTAATACGAAGGATCAGTGAAGGCGTGGTCTATTAATACTGCGTCACAAACCCAAGTTCACGTTGCCGAGCTTCCGCTAGCAGGAGGGAGGGGGCCGCTCTCGGAGGACTGCTGTGTGAAATCCGGCGTCCAGGCCACAGGAGACGGCTCCTGCGAGAGGCCGCCCTATGTAGGACACAGGACTAGGGAGAGAAAGGAAACGTCAATAGAAATGCGTATTTTGTAGACACGAGAAGCACATTCATTTCATTAACATCTACATAAAAAACACCTTTAACTAATGAGAACTTGCTGTGAATGCAAGGGTCTACAGTAGCAATTTTAAGAAAGGTTCTAAAAGGCTACGCCCAACAATGAAAGTTCTCTTAAGATATTTGTTCCCACTGCCCAGAAATGAGATACCAAACGGCCACGTCTCGAGGGCACCCCTCAGAGAGGCCCGTGTTAGCCCAGTACCAGGCGGCTTGTAGCAAACTGCCTCCCCGGTGAGCTCCCCCAGGCGCCAGTCGGCACACGCTGCGGTCCCTGCCCAGGATCAGCCCGGAGGCAGCCGAACTACTCGCCTTTGGTACAACTGTGGGCTGTGGCGGGGAGCGAGGCGGGGGTGAGGAAGACGCTCAGGTAGCCCCTACTGCACCCGTCCCGTCTTCCTCGGGCCAAGTGAGGCCACTTTGCTGCCTTCTTGCATTTCTCCCCTGCACATGAAAGTTACCTTAATTTAGGCAGCCAAGCCCCAGCCACTGGTGTTAAACTAACATGAGAAGAGAAAGCCCACCAAGAAAAGGGACGGCAAGCTCTCCCTTGAGCAACACCTGCCAGGCAAATAAACGTTCTGGTCCCAGAGGGGAGGAGCCATCAGCTGGCAGCGGGGTTGTCCCGATGGGTGGAAACTGGCCCCGTAGCCACACCTTCCCGTGCCCTTGAACACCTGAGCGTTCCACTCCCCTTCATTCTCTTGGACAAGTATCACCACTTTCATCTGAACCCCAGCTTCATTTCCACCCCGTCCTGCCAAGGACAAAACCACAACTTGCGCACGAGCAGCTCAGCAGTGCGGGCACTGCACAGAGCCCCGGGCTCAGCGGAGCCAGCGCCCGAGCGGGGGAGCAGAGGGGTGGGTGCTGCTTCCCCGAGGCACGCGGTGTCCAGGTTCACAGGACAGCCTGGGTTTTAGAGGAAAAAAGTAGAAGTCACTTCCCCCCACAGCACTGTTCTCTGGGTCATACATTCCTCCGTGAGGTCGGAGGATAAAAGAGCTAGAGAATGCCTCAGAAGCTCCTCCTCTCTCTGCCCCGCATGGCAAGGCCCTGGGCACCCACGATAATTAAAAATTGACATGTCTTCATGTTCATCTCATTCCTGTGCCGCATCTATAAGGGCAAACCTCAGAACAATCCACCTTTTATACCAATGCTAGCATGGCACAAAAGCAAAGATGTCAGATTTTCTTTTTAAAACATCCAGAATGTAAGAAGAAAAAGCCTGTCATTGAAAAACAGCTTATGAAAAAGACAATGTCTTTTCTACTCTCGTTAACTAATGGCTGGCTGGCTCCCCATCAATCCGGTCTCTCACAGGTGAAACTCTTATTACTCCCTTTGCACTCCTGGTTTCTACCGCTGAGAGTCCCTCCATGAAGCTATGGTTGAGGAAAACGTCCCTCTGGTTACCTAACATCTCAGAAATCCAACCTTCCTTAAATTCAGCTAACAGCTGGTGGAGAGAGAGAGAACTCCCAAAAAGAAAAGTTGCCAGAAGAGGTTGCTCTTGAAAGTGAACCAAATACCGCAGGATACACTTTGTGATGCTTTGAAAATCTGTCACCTGAATAACTGCTACTTCTCAAAACGTAATTTCATTGAAAAGCGGTAGTTTTGCCTATAACTAAATTCTCCTGTCCCCTCTTTACCATCCCAAGTTTGCTCTTCCCTGAGCAAAGCAGGCGATCTCATTAACTCCTCCAACGATCATCTGCCCCATCACTGTTCCCATCCTGTGTGGTCTTGATCTTGCTCCTAAGATTTATGGCTCACTTGTCACTGTCCTGGGTTCATGCAAGTCCATTCCTTTCATTTTTCCCTGCGCCCCTCCCCGTCCCTTACACCAGTCCCTGTCACAGTCCTTTGGAACGGTTAACTGATTGCTCCCTCCTTCATGCATCCTCACTAACCCGTCCTTCTCTTCCTACTGTCCCCAAGTTGGCAGAGGCCACCTTCTCAAACCCTCCCAGTGTCAACAGCTGATGCTCTAATTACGCATACTTATGGCAATATTTCCATACTACTAGTATTTCTTCCACTGCCCACCTCGATGTTTATAATTTAGCCGTGGAAATGATTTCTAGCCCAGGACCTCAAGTAAAGGAAAATGTTACATAACCGTAATTTATAATGCTGATAGCATAATTAAGCCATGTATCCTCACCCAGCACAAATGAAATTAATGAAGGTTGTGCTTTTGAAAGTTACTTTTAATCTATTAGCAAGACGATGCATTTACTGAGTAATCACAACTTGCCAACCATTGCACAGAAGCCATTATGAAACTCACCTTTCAGTATATAATCAGTTAACAAGCTCGGAACCTTTTCACTGTCCTCTTTCATGGCACGAAGAACTAGGAAACAAAAGAGAAGGAAAAGCCAACAATTCTAAATTCAGACCAAAATATCATTTAATTTCTATCACTTAGCCTTAATCTTCATTCTGGTATAACCAGTTCATGCAAATTATTATCTTCTCAATAAGGGAATACACCTGCAAATGCTCAGGAATTTGGGTCAGGATATTCCAGCTCCCTGGGAGTTATTTCCCCGATTTCACAAACAGTGGAGGAGGGAAGAGAAACCCGGCTATTGGCACGGAGCCCAGCTTTACCATAAAGGCTGAAAGCAGGTTCCCGTCACATGCACATCTGTGAGCTCAGAGCACAGGAACCTAGTGCTGCAGATGCCACAGCTGGAGAAACAGACAAATGAACAGTGAGCTGTCCTCAAGGAGCATATCTGCCAGCCTTCTTGGAACTTCTAAAGAAGAGACCAAAATGAAGGCCAGACTCCATGAAGCAGGCAGGCTGCTGCCTCCTCTCCTGAGGAACCTGGTGAATCAGCCTCTCCTATCGGGAATCTGAGGGTTTTGTCTCTAAGCAAAGACAAAATAGGAAAAACAGCTACTATTATAATGCTTAAAAACAACACAAGCCTAGACCACACAGGTACAGACAAACCCACAAATACTGCTCTTCTGCAGCGATTGGCAACTCCAATGTTCTCCAGAGCACCCTAGGGGAAATGCCCCCTTTCCTCCCCCAGACACGACAGTACCACACAGTGTAACTGTCAGGTCAGCCTTCCTGGTTAAACCCCGACTCTGCTGCTTCCTAGTCATGGGACGCGGAGGAAGTTACTTAACCACTGAGGGCACCGAGCTCCTCGTCTGTAACGTGAGGAGGATAACTAGACCTGCCTCAGAGGCTGGTTGAGTGTTCAGCCACTAATCGAGATGTGAGGACGTAGAATAGTGCCTGGCACGTAATATATGCTGCATAAGCATTAACCATAGTTATCAATACAACTAATATTATTCTAATTCTGATAAAGATTATTATTGCACCTCCAATAGTTTTACCAGGAAGGCTACTGTCTCCACGGGGCTTTCCTGTGGCTGCCATCTGCAGGTGGTGGGAGCAGAGGCTCAGGGTCTCCCAAAGTTCTCAGATGCCCACTGTTTTATTTTCAAAGTGAAGGTCATCCTTCCTGTCCTCAGAGCTACATTAAGTTGGGCATTCACTTACGCACCCTACACACGTGCACTCACCCAAAGATTCCAAGCTCCTCAAACGATGCAGATATCACCTAAGAATCGTCCCAAGGGCATTCTGATGGCCTTGGTGTGACCAAGTAAATGTTTGTCCTTGACCTGAGAAGGTGGGGTCTCTCAGTAATTCCTAACCTCTAGGTGGTATTTATGGTCCCATCTTAGAGGACTACTATGTCCAGTATTTCTGCTTCCAATCATATTTTAAATTTGTTTTCCATTCTATATAAAATCATGTACCAAAAGCCAGCATCATTAAAAGTACAGCAGACTGGAATGAAGAGACCAGCCCTGTAATTAACCATTCCCCTGTGTGATCTTGGACACTCAAAACTTCCTAAGTTCTTCCTCAAAATTAGAGGGCTGTCCACCCAGTTCATCTCTTAATTATTTATTTTAGACTGGCTGGCATCACTTAATGTATCCATATTTAAGCATTAAATGTTTTTAAGTATGTTTTGCATAATCACAACTGTAAACCTACTTTGCCCCACCCTATACATTAACTTGCTTACTATGAGGTAAAGGGAGCAACTATTTTCAGCCTCGTTTTTCACTGTGACCAAGAGAGGATAAGTGACTTCTAAGGATATCCCTCTAAACCAGCAGTCACCAACCTTTCGGACCTCACGGACCACCAGTGGTCTACGGACCACCGGTTGGCGACCGCTGCTCTAAATGACAGGAACAGAACCAGAACTCAGGGCTCATTTATGGCTATCATAGACACTCGATACCATGAATAGTTAGGTCTGACAAGTTACCTTTGTTAGACTTAGAGTATTTTTGTCTGCTTTGTTCACTAAAGTATCCCAAGTGCCCAGAACACGGCCTGATACAGAGTAGGTCTTTACTAAATGTTTGCTCAATGAATGAATATTCTTAAAATATCACTATCAATTTATGGTCTACCTATAACTATTGTCTAGGGGGTCTATATTTATAAAAGAGAGAGGGGGGAGCCATACTTCTCCTAAATTTTTCCTATTCAGTTACTCAGTGATATTTACATAAGATCCATGAAGGACCTTACTTATTGATAAATGGGTATGTTCTTAAATATACATAAGGTAATGGAGAATCAGGTTACATTTTTCCCCCCAAAATTCAAGTTGTACACATTTTAAGAGGCCAGAAAACAAATTAAAAAAATAAAACCCATAAATCAACTCTAAATTTAGGGTTATGTTAGATGTCAGAACCATTTATAGTTTCATTCTCTAAAGAATAAAGGATGAAATCCATCATTTATTAAATCAATAAAACAAACAATAACCACAGCAATATAGCCAGCCAACTGAAATCAGTATTTAGAATCAGCAAAAGGTAAGTAACAGTTTAGTTTGGTCTTTACTCACTTTTTGTTAATATTTGAAGATCTTCAACAGATGGTGGTCCATTTTTTTTCTCATAGGGAATAACTGTTGTTAAGTACTGCCAAATTAAAAAAAAAAAAAAAGTGTCACTTAAATCTGAATTACCTGATCTGCAAAAATTAGAAACAGTTACCAGATGTCTATTTTATAACATGACACGAGTTACATTAGTAACGGACACAGGTATCTTATGTCTCAACTGCAGCTCAGCTTTTCCCACCTCTATCTGCTTCATCCAAACCCAATGTCAACATAAATACGCATTTGTTCACCTTTCAGTTATTAAAAACTTCAGAGGAGCAGGTCTGAGGATGACTTGTTCAACGTGTTCAAAGTGAAGTCTTATCTAACATTCTCCTTGCATATTTTCAACACATTTTTAAGATAGTAATTTTAACTAAAAGCATAGTTGTAACAGTTCTGCATAACAAAATAATTCCCAATAGTCAAATAATTCTGTTTCAGGCCATTTTTTTCCGCTTGAATAAAATGGTCACATGAAAAAATACTAGCTGCTTCTAGAAACTAACAAGGACACATTTACCCAAGTAATTTAGGAGGTGTTTATTATTACTATTATTATTTTAAATTATTGTGTAAGTTGTTATAAATGTTTGAAGGCATTAGTGGAAAAGAGAAAAGTGAAAGAGAATGGCCTAAGGGTAAATGAACAATGAAAATTCATGTCTGAAATTGAGACAAATTGCCTAGTCTACTAGTGTAATGCCTCTCAAGTATCAAGTTATGAACTATAACTATGTCCCTTGAGAACACAGTCTAAAGATTGTTGTCCGGAGTCTCCTCTTCTGGCCACTCCACCAAAACTATACGTTTCAGTGCAGTCTGCATAGGCTCATCTAGAGGCCCACCAGTTCTCCATGCCGTCTGTCCGGCTCCTCCCACCATGTAGCCCCTGCCCACATCTCAGCTCTATTCCTAATCCTCTGAGTGATTTTATCCCACTCATAAAAAAATTTAAAAAAGATAAAGTTACTTAATCATAACTAGCTCCCTAGGTTCAGAAAAGTAGAGAAGTGGGCGTTGTTCAATGTTTAAGAAACTCAGTGCTCCGTCCTCTGTTTGGTGCAGACCTCTCCAAGGTGAAGCCCACCTGCATGACCGAGTACATCTCCTGGGAAGGAGACCCTCAGAGCTGGAGGCGTGCCCTCCTGGGGCTCCACTAACGGCAGGGGTGACGGCCAACCTGGAGAGGCACCCGGAATCGGGCCTGGGCATGCGTGCCACCCGGCTACGCCTTCCAGCCTTCCTGCCCGCTCCCAGGTGCTGGATCAGATTGGGAGTTATTTTGCCATCTTATGGGTTTGAGAGAGGCGAGAAACACCAAAATAAATAAAAAAAATTCAACCATCCCTGCATGGAACCCCTTTATAAGCTGCAAATGTCGATGTGAAGGATTATTTAATGTCGGTCATTTCCCTTCCGAAGTAATACAGAACTATCTCCAGTAAAACCCTACGCTCAAATGCCTTCTCTGGATAAACTGCCTACAAAGCTGCATGCTGTGCACTTGCATTGCTTCACTTAAGAGCTAAATTGAAGAGCTTTCTTTTTGAGGTGAAATTTCCAATTGTGAAAAGTAATCTTAAGCATACTCAATGCAGATGTTCCCCGTGTTTGTGGTATTTCTAAAACCATACAAATTTGTTAATAAAAAGCAAATTACCACCCTCATATCTATGTATGATTTGTATAAATGTTTCATGCCTTTGGTAAACAAGCGAGTTGGCAGACTATATGATATACCTTAAGAACACATGAATATCATTTAAAAAGAGGTAAGATATACGCCATAGACATTTCTGACCTAGAACACTAATCCAAAAGATACCAACTCCTGATTTTCTTTCCCAAAAATGAGATCTTGTTTCTAAACTTTTAGAATTAGAGTAGCATATTCTAGTTATTTTTCACAATTACATATTCTACACATGCAATTAGTTATATGCATGTTAATATCTGTTTAGAGGTGAAAATGAAAACCGAAGCTCTAAAACATGCATTAAGAATGCATTTAGTCTATACTGCTTTTTCCTAAAGGGAACTTCTATATATTTTCATTCTATATAAGTTTATACATTATAAACTTGCATTTCTCTTGTAAGCAACAGTCTTAGTAAGTTAGTAAAGCTGCCAGCTTTCAGGACCTTCACTTACACAGAGAATGAAAGAGCAGAGAATGAGGAAAATAAGGATAACCGAGCACCTGTTTCTCTCCACCTGCATTTCCAAAGGTGTGGCGGAGGCCATTCTGAATGACATTTGAGATCCCTTCCATGCTGAAGCGCTACAGGCAGCAATATACGCCCGGAAAAGAAGGACAGAGAAAGAAGTTCAAAGACTATTAGTAAGAATGTACCACAGTAACTTCCGTGCCCAAGAGGCAAGCAGTTAGAAAACGCCACTACTCATTCAGATAAAGCAGACAAATGCATGCTGTTTTTAAAATGTCCTTGCTTCCATTTCTTTGCAAGTCAAATGCAAAAGCAATTGCTTTTATGCCACTGTATTCATGAAGATTTTACCTAACATTTCCTCCAATGTAAACACTGCAAGTTGTACACATACTTGTTTTATGCAAAATTTACCATAGTTGTTAAGATACCTTTTGATATTGCTTACCTACATTTTATCAAAAGTCTGAAAACTTGGCACCAACAGTACGAGTATTTTCAGCCTGAGTGTGCATACTTCTACTGTAAGTTTAGAGAGCACTGATACGGCACTTGGCAAATGAAATGCTGTTACTTGGAGAGCCGACTACGGCTTCCCACTTGCTCTCGGGCCACCTGCCACTGCCTGGGCGCAGAAAATGCGGCCGGAAGGGCACAGTGGATCGCATGTGCCAGCCAGGCCCTAACTCTTCTGCAAGGATTTTCCGCTCCGTTTCTAGGAAACAATTCCAGCTTATTTCTCCCAGCAACCTCCAAGACTTCCTAGAATTCATGGCACTGAAGAGGGGCTACTTCTTTCCAAATGTCTTCTCTTGATTTGTAGCCAGTCTACCATGTCATCAGACACAGTGAAAAGCGTCAGTGGCACCTCAATGGCTGCTGAGTCAAAAGATTTAGATTAATTCTTACACGATGACTAACTAAGGGGAAAGGCATCCTGCAAAGGAAGTTCAGTCCTGATTCACCGGATGGTTCTGTTCCCTGCAATTTCATAGGGGAAAGTTGACTCAGTAAACACATTTGAGGAATCAAGATGAATATTTTATAAGTCTCCCAGGAACAGAAGAAAAGAAACCAAGGCAATGGTCTCTACCCTCAAGAAATGTATAGTTTTGCCCAGTGGTTCTTAAACTGTGGTCCAGGGCATCCCCCACGAGGTCCCAGAAACCCTTTCATGGGCCCATGAGGCTAAATTATTTTCTTAGAAATACTAACGCATAATTTGCTTTTTAAAATCTTATTCTCTAAAAACTTAGAATTAAGTATTCCAAATGACTGACTGGATGCGGAAACAGATGTGAAAATCTAGCTGAATTCAAGTAAGCCAGGTATTAATGAGACTGACAAAAATGCAGAGCAATGCCATTGTGCTCACTAAACTTTCTGAAATGTAGTTATTTTTCCTAAAAATAGTACTTATGTAAGCATTAATGAATTTCTTATTGGTATTTTAATGAATTAATATATATATGTTAAACTCTTAAGAGTTTTAATTTCTGATATGATAAACATCGGTATATAATATATAACCTATAGAACCAAAATATGCCTAGATATAAACAAAAGCACTTTTCAGGTCTTCAATAAATGTTACGAATACAAAGAAGTCCTGACAACAAAAAGTTGAGAAACACCGAAAGGCTTCCCCCGGAAGGAGCGGAGTGCCTGTATTGGTCACATGGCAATGGCGCTGCTGAGATTCTGAGCACCACGTCGGACCAGCCTGTGGGAGCTGAGACAGCTCTGCTTCTCCCGAGTCGCCCTCCCTCCCCTCCCCATCCTCCAGGCTGCGTTTTAGCAAGAATCAAGGTCTGGGCAAGACCCCTCGACTGCACACGCTTCACTCTGCTGACAGCGGAACTGTTACCTTAGGCGGCATTGGCTTGTTTTAAAAGAAAAACCTACAGATTGGAGACTTTTCACATGCGGTCGTACAGTCTGTTTTCACTTTTTAAACACATTATCAAAAGAGATGACTTACTGTAGGCTCCAGAATCTATAATAAAAATAATAGGAAACTCTTTTCAAGTAAATGTCAACTCATTTTTTAAATTTGAATAAAGATATTTATTTTTAAAAACAAAACAAAGGGAAAAAATACTTTTCTATATTACCTAACTCCATTGTCTATGGGCACACTAAAACCAGATACAAATTCAGAAAATCTCAAGCAATACGAAACATTTTAGAATCCATGTATCAAGAAACTAAAGTACACTTTACAGTTGGGCAGCACATCCTAAAAACACTATCTTTATTTTTTGCTTTGCCAGCTGGAAATCTAATTCCTAATTCTGGGGGGGAGGGGAGGACAACAACTAAGACTGATGCAAATTCATAACTTCCTAAGACATATACGTAATGTAGGCTTCCTTACTAAGTGTGCCGCTGTCAATATTGCTGAGCCATTCAACTACTGGTGGTCTGACTACCTCTCAAAGATGACTTTCATGCAACCAGAGCTCCAGGCCTCATGGGAAGAAATGGAAGTGCAACCATAGGAAGCCACAGTAACCTGGAAAAATATAAAACTAACAGCTGATCCTAGCAAAAGCAGCAAAGGAACCTCTGCCCTTTGCTGACAGGCGCTGAGTCAGGAGCTGTGGCCAACCAGGCCCCTGCATCCTGACCAGGCAGTCGAACGGCAGCCAGGAGGTTCTCCTGTCTCCTGCTCCGCTGGGGAAAACGACACAAGACAATCAGAAGGCTCCTGGGGAACGCAAAGAAACAAAGCTCCGGCTGCCATCAACTCCCACCTCCCCAGGAATCACGCAGTAACACTGTCTGCCTCCCCTGTATTTTCAGACTCTCCTTTCCCAGTGGCACCTGTAAACTCTCAACCCTTAACCTCGTTCCCTTCCCCAGG